TGGGATGGGATGCGGTGCGATGGGATGGGATGGGATGGCATGGCATGGTATGGAATAGAATGGATGGATGGATGCATGGATGGATAGATAGTTCGATTTTTTTGGGTATTTTCCTTTCAACCAAGCGGTGACCAATTGAGTAACGCCACTGCTTTCCACGGGCAACGCCGGGTATCTCGCTAGTATGTATATAAGGCGTATGTAAATGTGTAGCGGCGTGCGCCGTGCGTGCGGTGTACCTGTGTGTTGCAGAGGAACATTTGACCGGCATTTACAGGTAATTATCGGCGAAAGAGAGTAGAGAATCATTTAGACATTGGTAGTAAATACATTTCGTGTTTATTCAGCATTGCTATTTTATTGAAAATGCTCCAAGCGTCTGTGGTCCGCCTTGTCTCTCGCCACTTTACCTTGTGTTGTGATCACGCTAGGCAGCCTAAAAAAAACTGTGTGGCTCTCTCTGATACCGATTGCTGCAGTTGACAACACCGCAGGAGAGCGGCGTTGTGATGGATTTGCTTAATAGGCGAATAAAATGAGCAGAGAACAGTGCGTTGCTCAATGTACTTGTACCATGACTGAGCTGGTTTCTGTAATCGTCATGGCTGGCGGCGTTGCATTGTGGGTAATATGAAAAATCGCGGAACCCTCTATAACAAAAATCTGCTTGTATTCTTTTGTATATAGATGATGGTTCACAGCCCACGATTCCTTACTCAAATCTGCTTGTTTTTGTCTGTATAGAGATGGTTCGCTGTCAACGATTCTATAACAAAAATCTGCTTGTATTTGTCTGTATAGAGATGATGATTTACAGCCCACGATTTCTTACTCAAATCGGCTTGTTTTTGTCTGTATAGAGATGGTTCGCTGCCCACGAGTCTATACAAAAAATCTGCTTGTATTAGTCTGTATAGAGATGGGTCACTGCTCACGATTCTATACCAAAAATATGCTTGTAATTGTCTGTATAGAGATAGTTCACTTCTCACGAGTCTATACCGAAAATCTGCTTGTATTCGTCTGTATAGAGATGATTGTTCACTGACCACGATTCCTCACTCAAATCAGCTTGTTTTTGTCTGTATAGAGATGGTTCACTGCTCTCGAGTCTATACCGAAAATCTGCGTGTATTCGTCTGTATAAAGATAGTTCACTTTTCACGACTCCGTAACAAAAAAATATTATTGTATTAGTCTGTATAGAGATAGTTCACTGCTCCCGAGTCTACCGAAAATCTGCTTGTATTCGTCTGTATAGAGATGATGGTTCACTGACCACGATTCCTCACTCAACGCAGCTTGTATTCGTCTGTATAGAGATGGTTCACTCCCACGAGTTTATACCGAAAATCTGCTTGTATTCGTCTCTATAAACATGATGGTTCGCTGCCCACGATTCCTCGCTCAAATCTGCTTGTTTTTGTCTGTATAGAGATGCATGGCCGCGTTTCACTAACGTCCGCTAAAAGTTACTCGTTAACCGACAAAAGTTGTTCGTTCGCTAAATAGCGAACGAAGGCATACCGAACAACTTACCGAATAAATTTACCGATCAACTTTACCGAACAACGCGTTTCACTAACGCTTTGCTATGCTCCCGCTATTTAGCGAACAACTTCGCGTCAGCTGGCGGCAACTACAAACACGCTACTATTCACTGCTGCTAGACTAGTAACTATATTGCTGTAGAACTATATAGCTGCTACGATGGTTCGCTGCGATGGTTCGCTGAGATGGTTCGCTGAGATGTTTAGCTGAGATGGTTCGCTGCCAACATTTGCCGCGTTTCGTCGCCTTTTTTGTTGCAATCAGCAGCCGCTTCGGAGGGAATAGCTGTCACCAAGGGCGCATTAACCCCCGCGGGGTTAATGCGCTCTTGCTGTCACTCTATCCCTCTAGATCTATATAATGAACGTGTTTTTCGCATGTCGTAAACGAGCGGATACATGCGCTTCACACGGCGTCATATTTCATCGCGTGTTGTGAGGGTCGTCGGCCGTGCGTGGCGAGTGGTATTGTGTGGACGTAACCTGAGAGCCACAGGGCATCAACTCTAATTAGGCACAGCACGGCGTCTTATATCAATCTATTTCGTAGCTATAAGTTTCGAATATCTTCTATATCCGTTTCACTAATTACGCTCCACTTCTCGTTGTTACCGTAAGTAAGGACACGAGGGAGTGTGTGTGTGTGTGTGTGTGTGTGTGTGTGCGTGTGCGTGTGCGTGTGCGTGTGCGTGTGCGTGTGCGTGTGCG